ACACTGACACCCCACACACCCCCTCTCTGCCAACCCACCACCTCTAACACCAACACCCCACACTCCCTCCCTGCGACCCCACCACCTCTAACACCAACACCCCCCACACTCCCTCCCTGCGACCCCACCACCTCTAACACCAACACCCCACACACTCCCTCCCTGCGACCCCACCGCTTCTAACACTGACACCCCACACACCCCCTCTCTGCCAACCCACCACCTCTAACACCAACACCCCACACTCCCTCCCTGCGCCCCCACCACCTCTAACACCAACACCCCACACACTCCCTCCCTGCGACCCCACCGCTTCTAACACTGACACCCCACACACCCCCTCTCTGCCAACCCACCACCTCTAACACCAACACCCCACACTCCCTCCCTGCGACCCCACCACCTCTAACACCAACACCCCACACACTCCCTCCCTGCGACCTCACTACCTCTAACACCAACACCCAAAACTCCTGAGTTTAGTGTCACTTTAAGGTCTTCCTCCTTGGCAGCATTATGCTTTAACAAAGTTTGGTCTATACTGTATGATAAATGTATTCATAATGATGTCACTATCTGGACACTTAATATTCTTTTAAGCCTGCTCCGAACTTGTGAAAAGAACAAAAAGAGATACACATGCTTCATCACATGAAAATTCCTCCTTTTTTGTAACTAAGATGTTTATTGTATACTTCATATAAAAAAATCCTAAGTTATAAATTAGTGTATAATTCTGGGTTGCTGGGTTTCTCTACGATCGTGGGTCTGCTGCTTGCTATGCCTCTGTGTCCTATACATGATACAGATCTTTGAGTCTTTTAAACTTGGGTCCCCATTCACAGAGGTGGTCATAATTCAAGTCTTCATTAATACTGGAAGAGGTCAGGGAACTGAGGCTCCCAGCTAATGAGCCATCACCTTCCATAGAGTACATGTGGAGCAGCTCAGGAGGTTGGCTTTTTTTGTCATTATCTGCAGCCCAAACTATTTGTGAAAAGTATTCCTGAAAGTTGGGAATGTTGGTCTCAGCTTTAGTCTGTTCAGGATAGTCTGTTCCTCTCGATCCACCAGCACCATGAGGACGGTCAGGAGCGCGACACGAGCAGTTTGAAGTGGAGGGGACATCTGAGGTAGAATATAACTGATGAGCTTTTACTTTGACTGTCTTTTTCAGTTCCTGAAGGTTGTACCCATTCTGTAAATGGAAACAGTAAGTTAGATATGTCCCATATTGAATCTTGATAATTAAAGAGAAACCTGGATAGGAAACCCGCACCAGCGCTGGAGGGACATCTGAAAAGGACTGGAAAGAAGAAGATAATCAGATTAAGAGACATCATTTAAGGTAAGTCCCTACAGCAGGATTGGGAAGGGGCGGGGGG